AAAAAAAAAAAAAAAAAGTTAAAATAAATGCCAAAACAACAACAAAAAACCTGAGGCAAGAGGATCGTTGAAGGCCAAGAGTTGAAGGTTGCTGTGAGCTATGATGCTGCCATGGCACTCTGCCCAGGGCAACAGCTTGAGACTGTCTAAATAATTAAATATAAAAAGTAAATAGGAAATACTTTCACCAGTTCTTACTAGCAGGCAAATGGCATAGAAGCTGGCATAAAAGAGGCCTTGATTTTGAATCTTGCAGCTGTTTCCCTTTTTTTCCCCCTTTTGATATGGGGTCTCACTTTGTGTTGCTGCTCACTGGGCTAGAGTGCTAAGGTCTCATCATAGCTCACAGGAACCTCAAACTCCCAGGCTCAAGGGATCCACCTGCATAGCTTTCAAACTCCCAGGCTCAAGGGATCCACCTGCATAGCTTGTGTGCCACTACCCCAGCTAAATTTTCTGTTTTTTGTAGCGACCTGGCCTCTCTCTTTTGCTCAGGCTAGTCACGAACTCCTTCCTGGTCTCAAGTAACATGGGCCTGCCTGGGCCTCCTGAAATGCTAAGTCAGGGTATGCAGCACCACGCCTTCCATCTTTATATAGGGATCTTTACTTTATTTGATGAAATGGAAAGATGATTTAGGAAACTTACAGTATGTACAGGATGTTTCCTTGCTTTAGGTTTTTTTGGTTTTTTTGAGGGGGAGGGTGAGATGGGGTGGGGGGTGACAACACTTTTACTCTGTTGTCTCAGCCTACAGTGTCATCAGCCTAGCTCACAGCATCCTCAAACTCCTGGGCTCAAGTGATGATTCTTCTGCCTCAGCCTCCTGAGTAGCTGGACTACAGGTTCCTGCCACCACCTGCTAATTTTTCTATTTTTAGTAGAGACCAGTCTGGGTATTGCTCAGTGTGGTCTCTAATTCCCAAGTTCAAGCGATCCACCTGCTTCAGCTTCCCAGACTGCTAGGATTGCAGGCATGAGCCACTGCATCCGACCCTTTCCTTAGTTTTTAGGCAGGTGATTGATGGATGGTGTGAAACTGTTTTTCGTCCAGAGACATGCAAAGAGTCTGTCCTTTCTGAAAACAGGAAGCTTCCCGTATTTTTCTAATTTTCCATCTAGAAACAGATGGCTTAAATAATTACTAGGGGTTAGGACTGAGGGGTGTGAAATTGGGCTGATCTTCTCAGGGGCGGAGAGACTATGGCTCCATGAGAAAGCGAGGAACCTGTTCTGGGGAACGGGGGCGGGGGGGGGGTGTTGGCTTTCTTTTTTTTTCCTTTTTTTTTTTTTTGGAGACAAGAGTCTTACTCTGTCGCACGGCGTCGTCATAGCTCACAGCAACTTCAAACTCATGGTTTCAGGCAATCCTCCACAACGCTTGGCTACTTCTTGTATTTCTGCGAAATTTTAAGTGAAGGAGTATTTGCTTTGTCGGGTGCAGAGGCGGTGTGGGAGGGATCTCTGGGAGCTGAATAAGGAAGTGGACGCCAGAAAGGCCGTTGCCATGGTTTCCACGCACCGTTTTCTCCCTTTAGCCCCGGCTGTAATTACGTCGCACTGGGGATTCCGTAGTTTCCGCTTCCGGCCGCGAGGAGGCTGCGGTTCCTCCGGGTACTGATCGCGGGGTGAGGATCTTGTGCAGGTTGGGAGGATGAGGGTGGTCCTGCAGGGAGGCAGGTTTGCGCGCTGTTGCCTTCTTTCTCGACTTCCAGTCCAAACACTCTTGCTGGGGCCCTGTCCTCGAATGCCCAGCAACGCAAGACTACGTGGTGACGTGCTGCTACCATCTCTTTTCTTTTCTATGCTAAAGTTTGTATTAGCAAAGAGAACGCGGGATTCCTGATAACGATTCGCGCGTACTTTACAGGATATGAAAACTTCCATGTGCCGTCTCTCGCGTGTCACAGAGTCCTTGCATTTCCAGATCCCGAATAAGCCGCTCGGTAAAGTGTGTACTACGTTGTTTCTATTTCTAGTTTCTTCGTCCTTTCTCCGTCATCCTTTGGGTCTTGCAGAGTGGAAACTTAAATTCAAGGTCATGGCAAAACATCTCAAGTTCATTGCTAGGACCGTGATGGTACAAGAAGGGAACGTGGAAGGTGCATACAGAACTCTAACCAGGTAACTTATGGTACCAGAATCTTGCCTATACCAGCTCTGTGGTGGTTATTCTCTCCTTTCTCATGTCATAGGTCATTCTCTAACAAGTGTCAGCCCAAGTGTTCACAGTCTATTGAAACTTCTCAGTCTCTCACTTTATCTTAAATATGAAATTCTTCCTAAACCTAAACGTATAGAGCTTATTCGATAAGCAGTCGTCCCTTTGGTGAGGAATTCTATCCAAGACTTTAAAAAGAGCCCAAAGGGAAAATTAGGATATGAAGTTGCTAGGAAAGAAGAATGTAGTACATGGTAAATAGAAAGCTGGAGTTAGTGACTGATGTGGCACAAGGCTAGTGGAAGAGATGAAGTCAGATGAGGGTTCTAGGGTGGGAGGATTGCTTTCTGAGGCCAGGAGTTTGAGGTTGCAGTGAGCTATGATGACTCCACTGTATTTGAGCCCAGGGGACAGAGCAAGACCCTGTCTCAAAAAAAAAAAAAAAAAAGATTAGGATCTTGGGGAAGCAATGGAGAGATGAGGAGGATTACAGCATCAGCAAAAATACATAAATGGAAATAAACTGGCTGGAGTCTAGCTATTTAGAAAAGTTTTGAATGCTAGGTAAGAGATGTAGAAAGACCATAATAATGTCTACCCCTCATTTCCCAAGCAGAAAGTTCCTTAGCATTCTCTTCTCTCTCTTTTTTTTTTTTT